ACTCTTTCTGCATTCCTTCAAACTGATCCATATCTTTCTTGAAATACACTGACCAAAACTGATGCCTTACCGGTGCTGATTAGTGTGGAAAGAAAACTTTGCGTGACTTCCAGATGATATTCCTGTTTATCAATATGACATTTGTGTGTTTTACAACATGATCCTGTTAATTTCTATTTAGTTCATAACTAGCAACATATGTAGATAATTAATTAAGCAAATCTTCTGTTCTGGTATTTATAGGCAGAGCACAGGTGAGCAAATAGAGCCCACTTGAACAGCTACCCCATGGGCATGTAGTGCCATGGTTTTGTTTTGGCATTATTTAATAAACATATCCTGTGTATTTCTGTATTTGTTAGACCGTAGCACAAAATATTTAGATGTTGAATTAACGAAATAGACTCCCTCTTTTTCCTATGGAACTCTTTTAATGAAGGACACTCACCAAGAGGGTAAGGAGCAAAGGTGTTCGGTGAAGACTGTTGCTCTTTGGTCTGCAGGTCAGGTAGGCCGGGAGCCTGGGGATGGGGTGAAAAGCTATCCATGGCTGATTTGCCTGCAGAGGGGTGCAAAGATAGATGTGGAGGGGGAGGCTGCTGCTTCATAAGCAGGGCCTGGGCCAGCTGGCGCTGGTGCTGCTGGATCTGCTGCTGCATGTTATTGATTGTACGTGCAACCTGGCAAGAAAAAGAATCAATAAATGCTCATTTGAACAAAAAAGACGCTAGATTTCTTGTGCCTTTCTCTACAGTGAAATAACGCACTAGATCTCTTTACAAATAAAAATTGACTGAATTAAGAGTTGAAGAGCTGTAACTGAATGCTGTGAAGCAGCTGTATTACTCTAGCACTCTTGTTGCCTTTTCAATACTCAAGCCATGCTCTATATTATTGTTTCTAGGGATGCTTTAGCTGCTTTGGTATAATGTAGTACAACCTCTTTAAGCCACTGAAACCAAACGCTAACGGAGAGATGGAACTGAGGGGCAAACCTACTTGCTGCTCCTGTTGTCTCATGGGTCCGGAAACATTACGCTGAGCCTGTAACATCTGCTGCTGGATTTGTAAACGTTGGTACGCCTGCAAGACAGAAGTGAGAGGTTCAAGGTCCTAACATACCATAAGCCGAACAAGCTGGCTTGAATTGTTCTGGTACTTTATAAAATAGAAAAGACAGAAACACCGGACTTTTCTGAAAACAGTCAATGAAGCAAAAGTAACAATCTTGTTACGGATGTATTCTGAAACATATTTGTTTAAGTCTAGTGTTCACTGGGTTTTTTTAAACCAAACATGTCAATAAAAAACCTGATAAGTAAGTTTGTGAGCAATAAGAGTTCATTAAAGATAGGAGTCTTTTTACTTTTTCTGAAAAAATTGTAAGATGAAGCAAAAATTAAAATAGAAGTTTATAATATTATACAAATAGGATAAATATCAAAAGTTATTTTTGGTTTGGCCATTTTGAGTTCTGACAACACTTTGTATTTAATCAGTTGTGCTGCTTTATTCCCGAAATTTTCCACAATTTTAATGTGGTTAACTGCGCAGTAATTTTTTTTTTTTTTCCAAGGTGTTTCTCTGAAACATGTGAATTTAAAATCCAAAGAAGTTCTGTATAGATTTTTTTTTTTTCAAGTAGCTGGGTACTGTTCAGTTATTACCATGGCATGAGATCAATGCCGTGCTCCTCAAAACTACGAAACATAACCAGAAAGGAACAATAGTATCAAACACTGTTACTAATAGAAGAGTTTGACTAGCACATTGAGATCAACAACTAAGCTAGTTTGTCATCCTCAATTTTATGTTTTAACTCTACCAAATACTGACTTACTGTTAGCAGTATCTTTTTTTTTAAAATATTCACAAAATCCGATTAAATATTTTCATACACACACACATATATGTAAAATTTGCAAATACAACAAAATTACACAACTTTTCAAAAACAAGTAGTTCTTATCACATGATGTGTTTAATATACACTCCATGAATTACAGGAAATTTACCCTACACTTTATTATTTAGTGATGCAACTGAAGGAAGTTCTCCAGGCAACTCAGGTGACCGGCGCTGCCAAGAGTTCTCTCTTGTTGTGACACAAATTTTCCAGCTGGTGAATCAGTTGCACAGGTTGACATGTAGTACACAGAGCAGTGCTCTTTGAGAATATACTGCTGTATCCATACCAGTACGAAGACAACTGATTTTTAGTTCCACTGATCAGCTGTACAGGATAATTATTCCACAAATGACTATTTATAAAGCCTGAGGCAAAACCCATGATTTTGTTTCTTTGAAAAGAAACTCTACCAAAGAAATCAGTATCTGATTGTTTTAAAGATCTGTCATGTCCATTTAAAAATTTAGTTAGCCATTCACTTACTCTATCTTCATGCCTTCAATTCTGATTTAGAGCTTATTTGCCATGTCTTTTAACTTACCAGCTGCAGCTGATAGAGCTGGTTCAACATCGTCATATGCTGAGGATTATTAATTGGCGAGGTTAACTGTGCAGGGCTGAGACCAATGTTTTTTGCTGCAAACTGCAAAAGCTGTGCTTGAACCTAAGAAAGAGCAGTGTATTAAACATTGTACTTTTATTTTTAACACTGGCAACTGTGTAAGCCATTAATAAGAATCACAAGACATCAGCTGGAAAACATTACTATTACCAGAAGTAGTACCATGAACTACCAAAAAATTAACAAGAGACCAATACAAATCTTAATAACCATACTCAAATATCCATTTATAGAAAAAGAGCTGAGAACAAACTCTTCAGCTCTCTAGAAACACTACTTTTTGTGAAAAGGAACAAGAGAGTGTGCTCACACAGATAACGTACAGAGTTTATGCACAAGAACATCTTACCTGCGTAACATGCTTACTGGCTAGTAAATAAATCAACACAGATGCAGCCAGACAACAGTAGCTGCAAAGCCTCAGAACCATGACAGAATGCATATGGGAAGGAGAGTGCATATGGAAAAGTTCCAGGGAAAGGAAAAAATCAAGAGTGGAAGTCCTGTCTAACCTGAGGGGATAGAAACTGAGGCACTTGAGCACGAAGACTAGGCTGGGATGAATTAAGAGGTTGCACTGGCGGTTGCTGCGGCTGTTGCATGGTCCTGGCTTGTGCTGCTCCGCTATTGCCAAACATACCCAGATTGCCACTCGGTATCTATAAGACAGACATTGGCATTTAAAGACATCACTAGACACATAACCTGAAAGTTACTTGTCTGTGCAGTCTTTATCCTCAGTGATTACAACAGGGAGGGATAAAGCACCCAGTACAGACAGACTGTACTGGCAATCAAGTTTAGAATCAAGCATGGCAAAGATCGCCACGTATCCAACAACATCTCAAACCTCAAAAACTTTGTACAGGTGCCTGAACAAAAGGCAGCTGCACTTGAAGATCGCTGTTCTAAGGATGCATAACCCCAGAGGGTCACAGATGAACAATGAGAAGTACTGGACAAAAATGTCTGGTTTTGTGTAGCAAGGGACAGGAGAATGGAGTCATTAAACTCACAGTATCCCAATCCTTAAATTATCTAGGCAGTTTTTATTAGTTCTTTTACAAAGGCACTGATAATGGACACTCTATTAGTGCAGTCTCCACTTCTGAAAGATATGCTTAACAGGCTGTAGGCTGGACAAATATTGCCTTTAGAAAACTAACTTAACAAGAATACATGTAATAAAAGCCACCATAGAATCATACATAGAGAGGTTTTTGTGTTGTCCTTTCTTATCTTTGCTGGAACTTCAATTTATATGGCAAAAATAACCTTTTCATAATCAACAGCAGTTTATAACCTCTCGGTCTCGTGGTGTTTATGAATCTTGCCCTCCATCTCCTTTCCCTTTCAGCACATTCTTTCTACCCAGGGGCCAAAACATCCCTTTCACCACAACACTCCATACGACCAGAGGTGCTAGAAGCACAGTTTCGTTCTTACCACCTGTCAAAGCTATGAG